GGCTGTGTGAGTTTAAAAAATGTATGAAAATTTTAGTTCTTGAAAGGTTCCGCTAGGGGCGCTGTACAATCCGTCATGCATTTAATGTCATTTTTTTACGCGCCCTCAGTGGGCTTAGTGTGAGTTGACATAAAAGTCGTCACAAGCGAGCGCGTTCAAAAATATAGTTCCAAAATACTGACTGTCCTATCCATTGACATTGACAGCGGGGCGCCACCGTCAATACCGGATCGCTGGTTCCGATTTTTGCTATGTTGGAAACCATATAGTTGAACGATGGTAGCGCCCCCCTGTCATTGAGTTTGGTGGGACAGTTCAGCGTGGGTCATCTATTTAATAATATGAAGATTTTAGTTCTTGTAAGTTTCCACTAGGGGCGCTGTACAATCCGTCATACATGTCACTTTTTTACGCAGTTGTCATCGAATGCGTTTGACGTAAACTCACACTACACCCCCTAGTAGGTAGGTACGAACGGGGAAAACGCGGGGAGGTGTGCAGATAAGTGAGAAGGAGAATCGCATTCCAATGAGGTGCGCATTTAACTCGATCGAGTTGTAGTTAGATGAACGGATTTTGGTTTTAGTAAAGGGTTTGGATGTTGAGGTATTGTGAAAGTGGATTTGGGTTATGATCAATTTTTTTAACACACGTCATCCACAGGACTATTGTGGTGAACCCATCAACCCATACCACTTGTAACACAAGCGTAGCTAGCCACAAGCGGTTAACGGGATTTCTATTAGTTAATTTGTATTGCACAAATTACTACAGACTCATAGAGCTACAATAAATTCATTGATTTATAGGAATAAAACCTAATTAAAAATGTTAGAAGCCACGATAGCCGAACGGTGAAGGGGTCGGACTGGCCGACTCGTGATCCGGGGAACGCGGGTTCGGTCCCCGCCGCCGCTCGACTATTGTGGTGACACAAGCATTTTAGCTTAGTACGAGGGGCTAACGGGATTATTGGTACAAATCACTAATAATAATCTTTAAAAAAAAACTGGGGTATAACATTTGGGGCCTTGACTTTATTGGACAACAGTCCCAAATTAATGAAAGGTAATCTTGACTAGAAGACTTAGGGTGGGTTGCACCACCTAATTTTGACGGTAACTATTACGATAACCGGTGAATTTTGTATAGAATTTGACAGATTTTTGACGTTTGTCACAGTTAAAGTAAGATGGTGCAACCCAGCCTTAATGTAAAACTGTACGACTAGTTTAAAAGGGCACATTGTTATACAAATCATACTTTTTCCTACTACACTTACCACAGCTGTCGCTGTTAGGCAAAATGAGAATGCCATAACTTGAAGTAACTCCATCTTCTGATACAATAATAAAGTTCCAGCTTGTATTTCAGCATTTATTTCCTTTACTTTTTTTCCAAACGTTAGTCATATTCTTATTCTTACTTAGAAAAACTACAAGGGAAATGGTTCTGGAAGTGTATCAAAATATTTGATTTATCGATTGTAATGTAATATTTATGACCATAAAATGAATAGCACGTGTGAATATACGTGATTGGTACGTGAATACACGTGGTCGTGGGTTAAAACACTACGTAGGTAATTCAATGTCGAAAAGATGCTTGCTTCGACATTCGTTCGCGGAGTTTTGATTTCTCGAAATCATCGCGCACCAATAACCATCAACCTCATCATCGTCATCATTTCACTGCTGAACATAGGCCTCCCCCAATGACTCCCATGATGACCGGTTGGCAACGGCCTGCATCCAGTGCCTTCCTGCTACCAGTATGAGGTCAACGGTTCACCTTGTGGGTGGACGCTTTACGCTGCGGTTTCCGGCACGTGGCCTCTACTCTAGAACCTTGCTGCCCTTACCTAGCCTTGCTACCCCTAGTATACCAACCAACTTATTTATATTTCATCTAGGATTGGTAACAAATGACGACTACATCAAATTAAATCCAAATCACTTTATACGTCAACACGGTGGTACAAAGTTACATACCATAAACGCGTGCTATGGCTCAATCGGACCTCGTCTTTTCCGTTTGTATTAACTATCAGGTTAATACAATCCTAGAAGGTCCTAACTGAACTAGGGACTAACACAAAGTGATGATATGGAGACACGTAAAGAGATCCTTAACCTTTTTACCCGACTGCACCATAATTTACCAGAAGAAATGTTACCTATATTCTAATTTAGTTTTTGACGTTCATCTTTTTACACTCTGTAGGTAGTGTACCAGACCTGGAAATCAAACCCTGTCGCCAAATAAGGCGTGAAACAAAGACGTGTTACGAACTTATTGGCTACTTTAGCTGTCACAAACTACTTGACGCTAAGGCCCAGAACAGACGGTGAAACGCAACTGCAACGAAACTGCAACTGCTAGTTACTTTTGAGTTGCATCTAAGTTTCTGCCATAGCGTCCGTTGAGAGACCACACATGACGCGACCAGTTTGAAACTTTCAGTTTCGTTTCACCGTCTGTTCTGGGCCTAACTGTACCTCTAGTTTTTAAACGCCTGAAACGAAATACCAAACCGGGGTCAACCAGAGGTCATAAAAAGCAACCCCAGACTGAAGTCTACATACCAGACGATGCCCTTGGGTGTCGTATGAGTTGGGCAACACGGGTCAGTGCCCTGGACCGACGACCTGTTTCAATAAAAGTATATGCACATTACTTGTAAAGGGTGTGTGATATTTTGTACAATGGCTCAAGTACACTATGCGGGAAATGAGGATCATTTCGATTTTTAGCTGTGAATGCAGATTTATAGGGCTAAGAAATCCTTAATACACAGTCCAAAAATGTTTGTTCTACAACAAAAATTGACGAAGTTATGGCCAATTTACTAAAAAAGTTCACTGACCGCCCGGCGCGGGGACGATGACGTCATTATATCCGATCCGAACGCTGCCGGCGTACTGCGTGGATAGAAAATATTTTTTTCTAGACAAACTATCAGTTTTAGAGAAAAACTTGTAATGACATTTATTCATCAGAATAAAGTAGGCTATCGATAGGTAATTTTTAAAAACAGAAATTGTGAAAAATAACGCAAAAAATCCATACGCTCATACGATTCAATGGAACGCAGAGACGCAATTGGGGTCTCCGCGGTGGTATATTTGGCGATTTATTCAAATAAAGTGTTCATAAGTGTTGTCTTCTTCCAAGTAAAATATAAAAATGTATAAGTACTAATTTATTTACTTCTAACAATAAGGTAGGTATAGCTGAGGCAGATACACTCTGCCTAGGCTACAAGACATTGCTATGAAGATCATTTCGATGTACACGCAATACCTACCTGTTATTTAGTTTTTCTGAGTTAAACCTACCTATCTATTCGCCGTTCCCATGGGCGGGCCAGCTGCTGCAGGAAAGGACAGCTGCTCCCTCCTGGAAATCTATTTAATCTTAGCCTAGAAGCTNCTAGGTATGACTCCCCCTCGGCCAGAAGCTGGGTACTTACCCCCCCAGGCCAGAAAGTATGACTTGCCTCTCCCCCCTCCCACCAAGGCCAGAAGCTGGGTAAGGCTTGCCCTTCCCCCCAGGCTGTAAGCTGGGTATGACTTATCCCCTCCCCCCAGGCCAGAAACTGGGTATTATTAGCATCATATTATGTATTATTATGTTTAATACAAACAATCATTAAGTTACACTCACCCCAACCGCGTCTCCGCATTGCATCGAATCCTATGAAAATGTGGTTTTTGGACATAGCGATACTTATTTTTCACAATTTTTATTTTTAAAAATTATTGGTCGATAGGTTACTTTATTTTGATGAATAAATGTTATTAAAAGTTTTTTTCTAAAACTGATAGTTTAGCTGGAAAAAAATATTTTCCATCCCAATAGTACGCCGGCTGCGCTCGATTCGGATATAATGACGTCACGCGGCCCTGCGTACGTTGACTTTTAGCAGCAAAAACGGTCTATGTTTATTACTTTATATCTTCGTAAGTGATGGTCCGATTTGGATAATTCAAAAAGATATATCTTTCTTTAACGTAGATACTAGTTTTATTGAATTTTCTACAACAGTACTGATCCTCATTGACCGACACGTGATAGTGTGAACACAAGCCGTGTGTCGCCCATACTTCGGTGTGCGATCTAGCGCTTCGTCTCGGTCAATTTGTACTTGCGCCATAACAGTTTGTGATGGCTAGTCATCTGTGGACTGTGGTCGCATAATGTCGCACACTGCAGACGTCACGTAACAACGTCAAATAAATTTACTGTAAAATAGCACTTATCACATCTACATAAGACACCAGTGTTTAGTTTGATGTGCCATTGTTTGTACAGTCAGCGTCAAATAGTTCGTGACACCCAAAGTAGCTAAAAAATAAGCAACATGTCTTTCTTACAATTAAAATTAGGTTGTGTTGTGAACTGACTGTACCTAAATTATAGGTACTTTCAGTCGATTGCTCAGCGGTAGCAACAGGTATTAGAAAAAGGCCCGTCTTATAACAAAATGGTTTATTTACAAAAAAATATATTAAATAAGTCACATTTTAAAATTACTTTGAAAAAATACTCTGTTGGTATCAAATCTACTTCATGAAAAATACTAAGCCATTTCATTCTGTTCTGATATGAAATGTTTCAATACAATTTAACTGTGATGTTTACAATCGTCTCTCACTGACCTCTTAAAATGTTAGTCAGTTGTTTTGAAGATTGGTAAATTACTATGATTTTGACGTAAGCGCAAATTAATAAATTATACTTATGTTTATTAATTCACACTGGCGAGTCTAGCAGATTAAATCTGTCAATAACTTTTTTGCACAATGCAAAAAACTGGACTGACTAGCAAAAACTAGTCGAAACGTTGCCGTGTGAATTTTCAAGTGTAAAAAAAAATTAAAAAGTCAATATCTTGTCAAAACATTCAAGTTTAAAGTTTTATTTGCTTTACGATCTGGTGGAAACGTTACTTAGGTCAGTTCCAGCTGCATTAAAAATGTGATACCTTTTTAGTTGGTCAATAATATTATGGTAATTATAAGTATAATTTCAAAGTATGCATTATCAGAAGCGAATAACTCAATAACTAATGTTCAAAAGGACATGAAAGTATCGGGACTCCATGTACAAAACGTTAAAGACAGAATCAAATGGCGGCGCATGATTGGGAAAGCCGACCCCGCATAAAGGGATAAGACGAGGCAGAAGAAGAAAAATGCTCTCAATAACACTCAGTAAAATCATCAAGGAGAAGAGAGATGTGTCCGGCAGACATATTTTTCTATTGAATTCGGCGGCGACGTGGAATAGACAAATTACCAAATCAACTAATGAGGGCTATCGTTTTTATACTTAACAGTTGGCACCCCTGGCGATTGACAGGACCTTACTCTACAGTGGCGCCATCTTGATGAGTGCAAATGCGATAGTCCTCCTACCACTTTAGCGCTCACCAGTTGGTGCCACTGTCTTCGCTACTAGCAAGTGACAGGACCTTACTCTACAGTGGCGCTAACTGGTGAGCGCTAAAACGATAGCCCTCATTGGTTCCCAAACTTATTTGAGACGCGCCCCCTTTGCATACTTTGAAATGAACCTGTTATTATCTACGCCTTAGCCTTGACGGCGAGCAATGTGTTAGCATACTGGAACTCCGGGCTGTTCTCATATTCAGACATGTCTAGAGCCACTTCGCAGCTTTCCCTGACCACTGGGCGAGGGTCGTGGAGGTACCTGCAATTGATTAAAAAATAGTATAAGCTCTTAAGCTCAGAAATAAAAAAACTGTGTAAACATTCCACATGTTCATTCGTTTAGAAAGATTGCATCTACTGCTGGACAAAAGGTTACCCCAAGGATTTCCCCAACTACGTTTGACCTGTATTTCCTGCAAATTTCACCAGCCGGGCTAGGATGTCACCGTGATAAATCTTTATCAATGACTTTAATAGACGAAAGAGGCGCGACAAAAGTTTATCGAGGCGCGCATCCTAGGCCTACTGATTGGCTTACTACATATTTACTATAGACATTATGTGAAGTCGCATTTTTTCTTGTTCGTTACTCAATGATAACTTGATACTTCATGGCTTCAAGTTCAACTTGCTTTATTCACGTAGGTACATGTACACGACGTATTATTATTATTATTTTCACACCCAAGAAATCAACCAGCTATGATTTACTGTGATATTACACAGATTACTGACCCTAATTCTATTTGCAAAGCTGGTATTTCTAAATAAAATATGCATCCCATAAAACGCCTCACCTTTTCAAAACCTCTGTGCATTCATCCGTAGCTATGGACCCTAACGCTTCAGCTGCTTCGTGCCTCACCATCTCATGCTCAGCGGTGTCCTCAAGGGCTTTCTTTAAGAAAGGTATACTTCGCTCATCTTGCATCTGGCCGAATACAAAGGCTACTTCGTGACGGAACAGAGCACTGCTAGCGTTGAGGCCTGGAAAAGTTAACAAAAGCATGTTATTACTTTTTGTTTCGTAATTCTTCGTTCAATTTATATTTTTATAGTTGTTTTATGACAGTAAATTAAATTCCAGATCTTCAAATCTACAGGTATGTTACAGATAAATAGTCTTAAAAAACTATTAGATTTCAATAATCATAAATAAGGCCCTTAATTCCTTTCATTTCTTTTTTCCCTTAACTATGAACAGAATTAGATTAAACACTCTCTAATTTTAGAATTGATCAAATGAAATTGAATTAACAACCAGATATCAAATCAAATAGGAACAACCTTTACTATAACTGTGATGAGACGGTATAAAATAATCAATGAAAGTAAAAATAACAATATTCATATTACCTTCTCCCAAAGCTTTTATACTCTCAGTAGTGGCCATATTTCTCAAGCTGAACATTGCTCTGTACCTCTCATATAACGGTTTAGACTCATCCATCAACGTCTTGCTCAAAGTGGGCACATCATTCTCACTGCTTGGTGGTGCAGGATCTATCGAACAGTACGGACTCTTAGATAACTTCTCACTGGCTCCATCGTTGGCCACCCAGTCAAGTCTCTGTAGGGCTATCTGGCAAGTCTCCGCTACTTCAATTGCAGGGTCATTCTTGTACTTTTCAAGTAGTTCTCGGAGATTCGGGTCACCTATAGCTCCAAGGGCTTCACCTGTAAAATTATTTAGAATATTTTGTGAATATAAGTCAATATTTTGAGACATAAATGAATTAAATAGAAAATTATACAGATTATTCCACTTCGTCCACCTGGGTGATATCACCTGAGTGAATAAAGTGGTATAATCTAGCTGTGTTCCAACACAGTTGCAGCCACAAGTGATTTTCTATTCTATCTTCTACTCTATGAAAGAAAATCATTCTGCATTATGTAGAAGTAGGATGTTATTAAGTACCTACCTAATATTCAATATGTTATTCAGTATTATTAATGTTATCTTTGACTCATCTAATTTCTATACAAGTTACTTCAAGCGCTTCAACTCATAGTCATTGAGGAAAATCATGATTTTTTAGTTACTCTCTCATGACATGGTATGGTTATCAAAGTATCACGATATCTATTTCTGGATAATGGCAATATTTAACAATTGCAAGTGTTATCAAGCGTACGTGATCTATATTTAAGTGATAAGAAATTTTATTTACCTGCCTCATGACGAACTATGGGGTCTTGGTTTTTGTCCTCTAAAACGCTTCTCAGCACTGGAATGGCCCTTTTATCCAGCATTTGGCCTAGGCAATAAGCCAATTCGTGTTTTAAAAGCACAGATTCATCTGTAAAACAATCACTGATACATTTTATAGCTGTTTCGCCGCCTAAGTTTCTTAGAGTGAATAATGCCCTAAAGCGCTCCTTCATGGGCCTAGACGGATCGTTTAGGACTTTTCCAATGTTTATTAGCTCTTGCTCGCCAATGTTAGACATGGTTTAATTATTATTTCTAATAAATCACAGAAAAACGTGTTCGAAACACAACACGGCACGGGGAGTTTTGCTGTCAGTGTCAATGTCAATGTCAAGTGTCATTCATACGTCAATACTGTCATATTATTACGTGTTCCGATCTCTAACCTATTTGGAATAGAAACTTGGAGATTTCATACAATAAAAAGGCAATGAAAAATAAAAAGAGTATTATTGTAAGAAAAAATTAAGAAATTATGTGGTTTTATGTCTAACTGAGGAATTAATTTAATTATTGATTAAAGAAATAATAATTAGTACAACAAGTTACTACGGCTATGCAAGGTTTCGGAACAGATTAAGAGTTGCTACTAATAAAAACTCCATACACCGGAAAAGGAAATGTACAAACTTGGCGGGAAAGTGAAGCGTCAAGTTCAGCTTTGTTTTACAATACATTATTTTCTTTTTAATCTAACTTAAGTAGGTACAATATTGGTGGATTATTGACCATCACGTGTTTGTAAAACGTGGATGAGTGCAGGCAAAAGGCAAATGAAACCAAACAATGCAAAATAGTTCACTTGTCAAATCTCAGTAACGCACATCTTTTCAACAACTCAAGGAAAGGGGAGCCTACTTAGATTAATAAAACCTAGATAGATAGTCAGTGCACGAAAGGTGAGGCAGATTTTAGTAAGCCAGAATGGCTTACTCGTAAACGTCACATGAACTGTCAAAGTGAAAAATTGGTAAACACGTCCGACGACTTTTAATTAATTAAGACGGTTTGTGCTGTGAAAGGGTGTCTAAATACATCAGAAAAACTAAAGAAAGTGACCAGTGTTACATTTCATAAGTAAGTACTACGATTCGATGCGTATTTTGCTTGAATTTGGCTTTCAAAAATTAAATACGGGAATGATACCAGTAACAAGAAAATTTATTTCCCAATTGTTCGCCGTACAAATACACTTCCTTTTTTATGAAATCGAGACTTTTCAGTCGATTTATCTCATTGTAATTAGGTAGGTACTTTGAATTCAATAAATAAGTAAGTACATGATGCGTTTTGTTTTTGTTAGTTGTAAAATAATTAAAAACGTATTAAAAATTTCCCTACTTTCGGGAAAATCGCCTTCACTGTCTACACTCCCCAACAAAATTGACACTAATGACATAAGATTTTTGCCTCACTCTTGACGAAGCGTTTGTATGAAGACTATCCATCTAGGTTTTATTAATCTAAGGGAGCCTATCATCATCCACCATTCATGTAGCTAGTATCATCCACCATTATTTTTTGCCTGACTTCTAAAATTATTTTTTTAACTTGCAGACAATGTTTCAAATTGTATTTCTACTTTAAACCACAGAATAATAGTAAGTCCCTAATAAACTCATAAAATTTGATTTTAATGCGGGTTTCAATCTAGGTAGCGGTCTGATTTTAACTGGTTAAGTAAGTACCTAAGTACTATTTATAAAAAAAAATACAAAGTTATAATTGGATAACTTCAAAAATCGCAGAACTGACCTATCTTTCCAGTTAAGCCAAAGTTCGTTTATCTCTTAACACTTTGCATACCATTTGAGAACTTTATTTTTTTTCTACAACACAGTTTACTAGCACGTGAATAATAAATCCAATAATTGATGTGTAAAACAATCCAGGCTGTCTGTGAACAGCAATAATGTCCGTTTGTTTTGTCCATTGCATACGGCGTACATGTACATTTATAAGTGAGTACATTATCATTGATACACACAGTCAAAACCTAATCGACGGACGCGGTGCTGGTGCGGCCGGCGGTCGTGCGTGCAAATACTTTTGTTTACATTCTACATTACGACTTTAAAACAGGTATGTCACTGCAATAACCGATTTTAAGTAAAATTTTACTGTACTAAGTTTAAACTCTGATCTGCTATTACTATACCTACTAGCTTTATCTTATCAACAAATAGGTATTCGGTTCATTTGAAACTAGAATTGTATCAATGAAGAGTACAGTAAATTAAAGTTGGCAGTAACTATTTATTAAAGCCAAACACAAGGAACTATCGGGTCTATTCCTATTGGGGCACTTTTGTAGGCTGAATTGCACCACCTAACTTTAACGATAACCGGTGTTTTATGTATGGAGTTTGACAGATTTTTGACGTTTGTTAAAGTTGAAGCTTTAGTTAGCAGCACTTAGTTTTGCAATGAGGGCTATCGTTTTTATAATCAACAGTTGGCACCCCTGGCGATTGACAAGACCTTACTCTACAGTGGCGCCAACTGGTGAGCGCTAAAACGTTAGCCCCCATTGAACGACATGTTTTGCCAAATATCTAAAAATTCAACAGATTTCAACAAGTGTGATATATTAGACGTCGAGCGTCTCAGAACCTCGCGTCATAGATAATTTAATGCTCTAAAATGTTTTGAAAGAGTCACAATTGCTGGCACAGTGGAAGGGAGGGGCCAATGAGTGAATACAAATTCTGATATAATATGTAAATCTGTTGTATGGTTAATTGAAAGCTTGATTATAATATCATCTTGATTAAGACAGCCAGGTGAACAGCGAAGTAATCATGTTTCTTTTGAGCTACAAACCCCAAAAAAGCTTTCAACCAGGTAATAACATTATAATCATAGGCCAAATAAGTAAATTAACTAAGTTCAAAACGTTGCAAAAAATATAAATACTTCCTTAATACATAAGGTACCAAAAGAACTGCGCACCTCTATAAGCAAAAGTCATCGGTTATAATTATAGTTTTTTGCGAGTATGCCAGACATACTTTAATATCTTTGGCACGTCACTAGAGCCCAGTATACCTAGACTAGTATCTCAAACTTTGTGCTTTGAGTCTAGTTAACTCTAAGCGGGAACTACATTTTATTTATTTATTATTACAACATTTAGCCATTAATCTTTGATTTAAATAGTGTCCTATCTTCCTACATCGTAGTTGAGGAATAGAACATATTTTAAAAAAACGCGCGTTGCAAAAAAGACCAAATTGAGAAAAAAAACTAGATAAATTGAGCTACATTGACAAAAACTTTGGGAATCTTTGGTATCATGATTTCAGCCACAGCACGAAATCACGCGTTTTTCGTACAACTACCTACTGCCAGGCAAGCTAAGATTAGTGTCGTAGGTCCATTGAGCATAACCCTCCTTCTGGCGCAGTTGGGTAAAATCGGCCTATCTTTTTGAAATCGGCCTGCGCTACATTTCAAGAGACGTGATACAAACATGGTCTACACTACTGCCACTTCAACTTAGTTAGGTAGGTACCTAAGCTACTTACTACATTTTTGGACACGACATAGCATTGTACTTATATCTTTTCCCTTGTCCCAATAAGTTTGTTCCTTATAAAGAACCAAAAGCATCGACTTTTCCAAAACTTGCTGAGTGACGTCTAGTCATAGTTTTCGAAGTTTGTCCAAAAGCGTCGACTTTTCCAAAGCTTGCTGAGTGACGTTAAATTTAAAGCCCTGTATTGTTTCGAAGAGTATCACATTCGTTCGTCTCAGCCAAATGACGTCCACTGCTGGACAAAGACCTCCCCCAAGGTTTTCCACAATGAACGGTCCTGCGCTGCCCGCATCCAACGGCAGTGGGCGGGGCACATAGCTCGTAGAGACGATGGCCGTTGGGGCAGGAAAGTTCTCGGTTGGCACGGGCTGGAAGACGTAGCGTGGGCAGGCCTCCTACTAGGTGGACCGACGATCTGGTAAAGGTGTCATATTAAACGGTTATTATTTTCAACAGGATGTATTCCTTATGGAACAAGATAATGTGGGGAGGAGAACCCGACGAAGTGAACGTGGTCACGGGACTGTCGCGACGGGACGTATACAAGATCAAAACCAGCTGGGCGGTCATGTATGCTGATGCAGAGAAGTATGGAATGGAGCTGTTTTTTGGGTAAGGGTAAAGTTTTTGTATTTGTAGTCACGACAAGACATTAGGCAACATTTGTTGACAAACACTGTTTATAAACTGCTTATAAACAATGTTTCATAATGTTTCATCATCTCTGTATACAGTTTACGAGTTCATAAACATAGGTGATGAAACATTGTTTATGAGTTGAGAGCAAATGTGGACGGCCAAGTTTCAGAAACCTGTGTTTATGGTAAACTTGTTTCACACTATCAACAAATGTTGCCTAATGAATACATGGCTTTATTATGTAAAACTGTCCACAAAAACCCAAGACTCTCCTGAAAGTTACGTTCGGGATTGTTTCATCAAATGCGTTTACTACCTTTTGCCCCATCTTCATCCGTGTAGAATTCGATGTACAGGGTGGAATTTTAAAATGCAGGTGGCATAAGTACTCTTAATACTGTAGATAGAAAAAGTTACTCATAGAAAACATTCCTATTTATGAAAAGAAAACAAACTTTCACTATGTATATGTTACTGTAAAAGCTCGAATTGCAGTAAATCCTAAGATATTCCAGTAAAATCTAAGATCTACCAATTTCTAATGGTAAATGTCCCAAAAGGTTTGCGATTCGAACTCTTACCACCATTTCGTTAGTAAATCTTAGGATTTACATTAATGGCACGGTAAATGTTGAAAAACAAAACATTTCATAACGTGCTCAGCGCATCTCATCATCATCATCATCATCAGAAATTACTTCAATTGGAAAAAATCGAATCTATCTTAATATTGAAGTTGCCCTCTTTGTATTTCTAGTCGCTCACTTAGTAATGTAGTCGCACGGACAGAATTTTAATATCTAAAATGGATTAAACATAACCCACTTTTTGTAAGCTCGTTCTGCATTTGATTATATTAATCAATATTCGTCGTTAGTTAAGTTAATTTTTCGCTTACTCAAATTCATACCGCTTAAGTTATTAAAACAGTAAGTATGCCATCATCAGTCGCTAAGTTATTTTTTAGTCGATCGTTTTATAATTCCCCATTAAGAATTACTCATTGTTTTATTCCTAAAACCAACATCTCCCAGCTGACAGAGGTAAAACCTAGCATATACTGAATTCGAATGGTAAAAGCTCGAAAAAATCGTCGTATTTTCAGAAATACTTACATTTACCAACTCATGTCGGTAAATCCTAAGACTTACACTTAAATCTTAAGATTAACCGTAGTTCGAGCTTTTACAGTAACATATAGATAAATCTCTGTTGATAGGTACTTATTGGTGTACCTAGTTCTCGGTCTACCTACCCTAATAATTCATAAGCTAATCCAATCCATTCTTACACTCCAGATTATTCCGCCTCAATCCAGAAACGAAGACATTCTTCAAAACCATCCGCCACCTTAGCGAAGAGGAGATCAAACAGAGCGTCCAGTTCAGGGCCCACGTCATCAACCTGATGACGTCACTCCACACTGCGGTCATGCACCTTCACCAGCCTGAGTTGGTGATCGCACTGATGAACAAGTTAGGGGAAACTCATAAGAAGAGACGCGTTGAGACAAAGCACTTTAATGTGAGTTGAGGCTTGCAATCACTCTCGTACAGTCAGCGTCAAATAGTTCGTGACAGTTATTTATTATTTACTAGCGGCCGCCCGCGACGTCGTACGCGTGGATCCCGTTTTACCCCCTTCATCTATCTTAAGCGGTTTAGATTTTTCATACAAAAGGATTTTCCCGCTAATTCCCGTTCCCGTGGGAATTTCTAAGTATACTATAACCTGCCCAGGAGTATGAAGAATAATTGTACCAAGTTTCGTAAAAATCCGTCGAGTAGTTTTTGTTTCTATAAGGAACATACAGACGGACAGATAGACAAAAATTTTACTGATTGCATTTTTGGCATCAGTATCGATCACTAATCACCCCCTGATAGTTATTTTGAAAATATATTTCATGTACAGAATTGACCTCTCTACAGATTTATTATAAGTATAGATTTATTTATTACCCAAAGTGGTAAAAAAATATACAACACAACCTTATTTATAATGTAACAAAGACGTGTTACGAACTATAATACGCTGAGTGTACCTACTTTTAAAGCCCTTCTATAAAAATTTACACGCATGATGAACAGAACTTTTAAACGGCATTTCCATACCATGTACACTTTTATTAGAGTTATGCCCGTTTTCACCATAATCCCTAAATTCTAAGTGACCCCTATGAAAATAAAATGTCTGTTATGTGCTACCATAGATATACCTACCATACCATACCATGCCATAAATAATGACTAAAATAAAGTGACCCCTCACTTGGTGAAAACGGGCATTATTTTTTTTATTTTAGTCGTTATTTTAATCGTAACACAAAATTAGTTGTTTTATTACATTCGAGGAAACCGTGAAAAATTTTAAATCATCATCGTTTGTTCGGGCAAACAGTTCCCAGGACAGTCAGTTCGTTAGCCGGTAGAGAAGTTACAAAGAAGATGTAATTTGCAAAAAAAAATCAAAGGCTTTAAAGCTATTTTAGGTAGATATATTTTTTTACAATGTAAAGCTGTAAGTGCCATTAATCTGTAAAAATAGGCACGTTAGAGATAAAATATGTATTTTTACTTTCATTAATTCGTTAGCGCTGTACAGAAGCAGAGTGGCGCAGTGGAAGCGTGCTGGGCCCATAACCCAGAGGTCCGTGGATCGAAACCACGCTCTGCTAGCTGTTAAAGAATACTTTTTGTATACACTTGGTAAACTCAACTCATAAAACTCATTTTATTTCTGCAAGTAGGCTTTTAAAAAACACTTTTACACGTCCCAGTTAACCCTACCACAGCTTTGGGACATTAAATGGGCCAGTGCTGAGAAGAAACAGGGCAAGAAACTCAATCACTATTGTCAGCCTCTTTTTCAAGGGTTTACAGTCTGATAGTTTTAATATTTAAAGAATCAAATATATTTTTTGTTACAGCAACTGAAGGAAGTATTAGCAAATATCTTGACAAACCAAATGAATGCCAATGAAGAACTGGTAGCGTCGTGGGTGAGATTCGTGAACTTCATCTACCGTCACATTTTTGACAAACTTTGACATTAGTATATTTTATCGTAGGGACGTAATGATTGTAATATAATTTTAAGAAATGATATTTTATTACTTTGTGATACTTAATAATGATATTATTATATGAGTATAGGTAGGTACTTGCCTTTGCAAGTATGTAATGCAAAGTGTTCGGCATACCTAAGTTTCGGTTTCGACCAAAATTCAGCTGAAACTTTGGTAACACCGAAATATTTAACATTGTTATTTTATGTTTGTGAATGTAAAATAAATATTTTCTTAGGTTTTTAAATTGTTGTTTTTTATTTTATTTAATACGTCTTGAAATATAGGGTGGATACGAACTTCCTAGATAGAAAACACCCAGAAAAACGTTTGGAAACTCACAAAATGATTGTAGTACTTGATACAGTGTGAAATAGAATCCGCGACCCCTAGCATACTTATTAGTAGTTACATTAATTACGCAAACACATGACAGCCAAACCGTCTAATAAACTGACAACTAAATGGGTTTTCAGGGCTAAAATAGATAGTTTGAGAAAAGTTTAAATTTAAACTTTACGTTGAAATTATTAGTTCATACCTACACAAATGAGCTTTGTGAATCACATACTATTTTGAAAAACCTACTGAAACAGGTCATGTAGGTATCTTCCTGACTTCCACAGTCAGATCAACATGAACAATTGAACATTCAATCCAATACAGCCCAATCATTTTCAGCCACCGTCCACTGCTGAACATAGGTCTCCCCAATGATTTCCAGTTTAACCGGTTGGCAATGGCCTGCATCTATTTCCGATACATTTCGTATTATTGAAAACACTTCTAGAAAAAAAATTAGAGTAGTTAGTTTTTTTTTATTTTAATTTGCTAGATTATGTGGCGCACTCAACTGTACTTAACCACGTGACTTCATTACGGCCTATTCATGTTTTTCACTTGACGTAAACAACTGTTGCCAAGAGAGGGCAAACATTTTTTTGATATGCCTCTATTGTAGGCGGTATTTTAGTTTACAAGTAGTACAGTGGACAGCCCATCAACGGAACACTGTAACGAAATTATAATAGGGGCGATTTTAAAATAAAATTTATAGTCTGGTGTGTGTTTCGTTGTAGGTACCTGTGTAGACTTTATTTATTTACTTTATAAGTCCAACTATGCTATGCCGCCTTCGTTATCGTAGGTTACGCACGACCACACACAATAAAATATTACGCAATGTTATGTTTTTTTCATGTGTGTTAAGATTTTCTTCCATGTGTGAAAGATGTTTCTTACTTTCATTCAAAGACGTCACTAAGAAAAGTAATAAAAATATTACTAGCTATTTTTACTCGTTTAAGCAGATTATACGAGTATTAGCGTTTTTACCCAAATGGCTTTCCTTAAGCACTGGAATCAGTGTTCAATTTACTGTAAAATTAGAAGCAGATTTGAAATACTACAAGAAAAGAGTTCTTTTCTTTTTGTATTTCAGTTGAAATTTTCTTTTTGTATCTTTCAGTTGAAACAGTTGGTGAATATGTGACTTCATAAGTTTCTATGGGGAGTCGCGTTTTGACAAAAGAGTAAATGCCCCTAAGCGAGTACCTAGTCTACATAAATTCAAAATGTATAGTAGACAGAGGCTTCCCGGTGACCTTACTTACCTTGTGTTCATTCGTGACATTTGCAGTGTTCTGGCATTTAGCTAGTTATTTTATTAATGAGAGATATCGACGTAACCTTTTCCACATTAAAGATACAAACTATAGCAACAAAGACCAATGACCAAGTGCGTACTTTACTAGTAGGCATAAATTAATATGAAAAGTTGAGACTGAACATAGGCTAAGTTAGATGTATCTATTCCTAACAAGAAGTGTAGAAGTGATAAAGAAAAAATTATCTAAGTATAAAAGTCAAATCACGCTCACTCAGACAAAATTAAGTTTTTTGCTAAGTGCCATAGAAACCATCTAACTACCCTTCCAGACTTGGTTGTGTAAGTAATTTATACGAGTATTTCTCAAAAAAAATGTACGTAACGAAACGGTAGTAACGAAATAGTAAGGCCATAAGGCTTGTTATACATTGGCGAAATATTGTGAATGCTCTTCATTTATTCAATTCGAAATATTTGTAAGTATGCACCCAAATACGGGGTAATATTAAGGGGTTAGAAATAAAATAAGGGAGTAATCATTCATACTATTTTAATAAAATTATTTTTGTTCCATCATGTTTATCCATTTTGAGTCGTTCTCTGTAAGCTTTTTGCCTTTCGGCATTGGTTTTTGGCGGCATTCCTAAAAAAACAAAAGAAGTAATCACATAAAAACGTAATCTAAATGATTTGATAATTTTTTGCTGGTGGCACTTCTGTAAAGCAGATAGTATCCAATCCTTTTGTTATTAACGCTCTATATTTTTTGAAATAAATTAAGTAGTGAATATTACTATGCTTAGTCAGGTAATAACAGTATACACTCAGCATTATGTTGTACTTTTTCGTAACGTAACGAAATTCGTAAAAAACGTAACGAAATATTAGACAAAATGAGATCAGAAACAAGTATTTTTTTGATAAAATTTGTTACAGCAAATATAAAAGCTTACTAAATGTTCGTACCACACGTATTACAAAAAATGGTTAAATGAAGACTTACCGTTCTATATAAAATCGCTGATTTTACTGCCTGTTACGAAAAAGTAATCCCACAAAACACACACGTTTTCACTAATTTTCGCGATAGATGTTATGGCGGAGACGTCAGGCCAACAGCCATTCAGAGTGCAGCTATTGTTGTCCGTGTAAAATAAATACGGAATTGTTCAGAAACCATGGGAAATAGAAATAAATCGTAACTAAAGAGTAAATAACGAAATAGTAAATGAGAGCGACTCATTTTGTTTTTTTGCTTTAAATTGCCAATTCATTATGACACCCCATAGAAAAACAATTTGATACAGAAACTGCGATTACTGTAGAACGATAATACAAAGAAATTTACAATAATTTAGTTACGTATCGCATTTTATGAAACAAAAATACATGAAAAAGCTAGGGTGGCAAACAGGTTTTTGTATGAAAGGTAAAAAAGGACTATTTTTAAAATATTTAAATATTTGGTAATAAGTAGGATTATAGCTATAATTCTTCGTTATCTTAAAGATTAATAGTCATCCTTCAAAATTGTGTGTGTGTTTTTTTTGTGTGATGATTTATAAATATAAAACTTTTGGACTGTTTCAAAGCACACTTTTTTTTTTCAAAATGTACATTTTTTTTGAGAAATACTCATACATAAGTATGAAGTGTATGAAGGGAACTTAGACCCGAAATCCATGCCGTGGTCCAAGAATCTGAAAAAGCTCACGGAAAGCTCTTGGATACGGACAGCACACACTTAAAAAATTTTTAGTTACTGCTTACACAAAAAATGACTAGGGAACATTTTGTTTATGAGGAACAAAATGTTGTGTAAATTAAACAAAAAAAATTGTAATGAGCTAATCTTAGTTTGGTTATAGTTAACACTTGGTTCACCAGTAACGTTTTTGTGTAGCAGTAACCAAGCATTTTTTCAGTGCATTAATTAAGTACCAGTCAAACTTTATCCAGCAGAAAGCCTTTGTCCAGCAGTAGACGTCTTTAAACTGAAACAAAAGAACATAAAGGTGTAAATAGCACTCTACATTCAATAAAATAACATCATTAGGCATTCAACACGCACTTAATATAAATCATTTAGCCAACAAACGTCGTCGGTATCGTATACAAATAAATTAGCCCTTAATTGATGATAATATCTATTAATGAGGTATTGTCAACGCCTATTTGTGCGAATGGTGACATGTGGTAGAGCCAAAGAATACTAATTTGATGTACACAATGGCCTACCCATATCTCATATTATTATGCTAGTTGCATTCTGAGGATGTATTCTACAAATCTGTTTCCACACTACTCTTTATTTAGCACTAGCAAATAAATACTTTGACATTGACTTTTGACTAGCTTTCCGCCCGCGGCTTCGCCCTCGTGGAATTTTGTCTGTCACAGAAAAACTTAATCCCATCAAAAACAATACTTGTCAAAAAAACTAAGTCTCGCAACTCAGTTGTTCTACGGTAAAAAGTTGTGAGATCCATGTAATACCAAGTCCAGGCCAGGAAATCTTTAACGTTTTACATAAATTATTGACTTGGCCATCGCACTAAATAATTTAATTTACACGTGTTTTCATGCGATGGCCAAGTCAATATATTTATGTAAAACGTTAAAGATTTCCTGGCCTGGACTTGGTATTACATGGATCTCACAACTTTTTACCGTAGAACAACTGAGTTGCGAGACTTGGTTTTTTTGACAAGTATTGTTTTTGATGGGATCTCATTTCTTTTTGTATTTTGTAGACAGCAGTTATGTATCTAGAAAACTGGACCGAAATTGAAAAATTTTACTCGACTTGGCGGTTGCACTACCGTGCCCCCAAATATTTTAGTTTTTCCTTGATTCATACACCAAACACTACTTATATTCCAAATTTGAAGCTTCTAGGTCTGCTAGAAGTGCCTTAGAGTTTTGATGATCGGTGAGTGAGTGAGTCAGTGAGTCAGTGAGTCAGTCAGTGAATGACAAAATTAAGTAACTTTGACCCGTTATAATTCTTAAACTACTGGTTCAAATTGAATGAAATTTTAAATATACCGTGTCTTTACAATGCCTGCATAGCTAATGAAAATTCAGCCTTCTAGTTTTATCCACAACGAAGTTACAGGCGGTCGAAAATGGCCTGAATTGCTTCGAGAAAAGGATGGTACGGCCGTGCCGCTTTTTTGCTCGACTTGGTGGGGGCACTGCCGTGCCCCCAGATCGCGCGCGTCCCTGTTTCTAAAACCGGGATAAAAACTACCCTATGTCCTTTCCCGGGACTCAAACTATCTCTATGCCAAATTTCATCAAAATCGGTTCAGTGGTTAAGGCGTGAAAGCGAGACAGACAGACAGAGTTACTTTCGCATTTAAATATTATAGAAGTATAGATTTCGGTATGAGTGAGAGAGACGTACAGCTGAAATTAGAATGGTTTTGTAGGATCTTCATTGCAGAGACATTGATATGATTTGATTTGTCTTGCAGTGAAAAGAAGTATGCAGTTAGTAGTCAGTAAGTATAAGGGTAAGATGGGCTGACCAGGTCAAACCTGCACTCAATGGTCCACTCCACGAGTGCACAAGAAGGGCTGCAGTGCGGGAGGAATGGCGACGAATTGTGAGGCTTGCCACCGGACTGGGTGTGACGACCACGACCACTCTGGCACGAGTGTAGCGATAAAGAAGAAGTATATAAAGAGTCATCGTTTACGGATCTCCTCATTTCTGATTCGATCTCGTAAAGAAACACCGAGCATAGCCCTCTCCATAGCACGCTGTGCAACTTTGAGCTTCTGTAAGCAGGGTGGAAACGTTAAGTGATCTCACTCAATTATTTCTAAACTATTCAAGATATTGAAAAACTCGTTACTGATCCTGAAAGTGCTTCATGAGCTCTTTCAAACGGTACCAATAATAGGTTACAGAATAAACTGGATCTATCTGAAAATTCAATGTTTCCAGCTTCCATACTAAATGTATGCCAGACACACAATATTAGAAGTGTGTTTTTTTTTCATTGAATAATAAACTCTTAAAATAAACTCGTAAATTGTATTCTTATTTAAAATTATTCATGGAAAACATTGGTTTTAGGCTTTACTTGCTATAATATTGTCAAGACATGAGTGCCATGACTGTGGTAGTACTAAATGTATGGAAGAAGGAAACATTGAATTTTTTGATAGATCCAGTTTATACTGTAACCTAATATTGATACCATTGGATAGAGCTTGTGAAGCACTTTTAGAATCAGTGATCAGTTTTACGATATCATGTGTAGTTTTTAAAATAATGTTATTTTACCAAATGTATGGAAGCTGGAAACATTGAATTTTCGGATAGATCCAGATTATTCTGTAACATATTATTAATACCGTTTGATAGAGCTCATGAAGCACTTTCAGGATCAGTAACTAGTTTTTTGATATCTTGTATAGCTTAGAAATAATCGAGTGAGATCACTTAACGTTTCCACCCTGTATAGAGTATAGAGAGTACTGCAGGAAAAATCATAATTATAGGTATGTACCTAAGTCGAAATAATTTTAGATACCTTTGATGGGTTCCCGGCCTACTGGTTCACGTAACAGACTACTCATTTATTCAGTAGCGTTTACGCCAACGTTATTGGTTTACAATTATTTTGCTTGTTGTAGGACAGATATTTTTTTTTTAATTAATGATAATGCAATCAACTTTTCATTAAGAATTATATCAAGTAGGAATGGATTTATGGCAAATAGTAAATGTATTCATGGATTTAAGATGACCAATAGTTTAAAATATTGTGCAATTTGTAAGTACGTCGTGTAATTATGTAGCTTCACAGAACTCTTGTGTGGTCTGTGCGTAGCTTATGCAAATGACTCCATCAATAATGTAATATTGTGCAATTATTATTGGCCAACCAATAAATAAAATAAAAACTATATTAATATACTACAGTTGACGACAGTTTTCAAATATTTAAAAGTTAGCGAGTTCAAATTTTAAAAATATTATTAATAACATAAAAACAAAAAAGCAAACTATGGCATAAGAAAATTGAAAAGAGATGACCTCATGAATTTAATTTTCTACTACGAGTACCTATAGTACTTACTTAGTACTCATAAAAGTTCTTTCCTACTTGCATAAATGAATGAGTTTTATGAGTTTTTTTTAACTTATTATTAGGTAGGCAATATAAAAGCATTGAATAGGTACCTATCTCAAAGCTGCCTACGAGTAGGCAAGAATTTCAATTCAGAGTAGGTAGTATCTAATACTAATATCTAAATAGATATTTTAAACTGAAACTATCAATGTACACAAACTTCATTTGTAAATTGAAAACCTTGTACATAAATAAACGTCTATTTAAAGTATGGAGACTACAAGTTTGCTCGTAGACATTAGCGAGTATAAACTTACTACCACTTGCTTTAAAAAATACATTATTGATTTAATATTAAACAAATTGTTTTGTTTGAAACCGAACTCCGGCAATTTCAGTCGGAGATTTAAAAAAAACTTATCTTTAGTTAAAAGCTATCCGACGACTGAAAAATACCCTTTAATTATTATCCTGTTGCGGTTTTTTAATCGTTTTGCTATCGTATCACTTTAAACGTTTAAACTATTGGCTGAGTTTCTAAAGATTTTCAGGACAAAGATAATAATAATTTTATCTGGGGGCACGGCAGTGCCCCCGCCAAGTCGAGCGCGAAGCAAACACTGCCGTACCATCCTTTACTGGAACCATTTCGCCGCATTTTCAGGCCCCTATTTGAGAACCTCTGGATAAGACCAGAACGCAGAAACTTTCGTCATCTAGTAAGCTATAATCACATACTTAAAATCCAAAATTTCAAGTCTGTAGGTCATTTAGTTCCGAAGTTAAGCGAAAGCAAAGTTTCGCATTTATGACACTCACTCACTCACTGATGATCATCAAAATAGAACTAGTACTTCCCATTAATCCCACCAAAAACATTCTGTAAAAAACTAGCCAAGTCTCGACTCTCGATGGGGCTGCTTGTTTATCTCTAAAAAGTAATGAAATCTAGACAAAGTCGTGCCAAGTCTATGGTTCTTTACTGCGATTTCTTTATTATTATAGTTAATGTTGTGTGACTTGGCCGTTGAACAATCTTTATTAAGATAATCAATAATCATGCATAAGTTTTATTGAAATACGCAGCTTTATTAAGCCTACAATTGACTGGTTATTAAATCAACGTTTTCCAAGTGGCAATTTTCCATCGTCAATGGGTAGCGGTTCTGGCAACAGATTGGTGCAATGGTGTCATGGAGCACCTGGTTTTGTACCCTTCAACGGCCAAGTCAGACAACATTAACTATAATAATAAAGAAATCGCAGTAAAGAACCATAGACTTGGCACGACTTTGTCTAGATTTCATTACTTTTTAGAGATAAACAAGCAGCCCCATCGAGAGTCGAGACTTGGCTAGTTTTTTACAGAATGTTTTTGGTGGGATTAATGTGTCAAATATACATATAGAAAATAGTTATGTGACTGTCGGCAGCAAGCTAAATATTGCGATAAAACCCCTAAAAGTCATTTATTTTTGCAAGTAGGCTTTTAAAAAGCACTTTTACACTCTTTTGGTATCAATCATGAAATAGTTGTGATAGGTCGACTTTGCAACATAAATGTAGAGTCTGATTGGCTAGCAATTTAGTTTCTTTTACAAAGATTCATTGTTGTTGTTTTATCTTTTATCACTTATTTTGTACTAAACTTCATACATAATCATTTTAAGACTCTTTTAATTCTAATAAAACACTAACCAATGAAAAATACAACATCTAAAAACGTATTCAGCAAAACCCTTAACCCTGAAATTTCATTTCAGTTTCGTGACTATTCCGAGTAAAATAAAACTTGTTGAGTGAAGTTAATGAAATTGTAGAGTTCAAGAATTCCGCCGCAATTCGCTTAGTTCACGACGGGGTGACTACCCCTTTACTCGCTAGGGATGGCAGTAGGGCGGGCGGCGCGTAAACTCGCAGTAGTAGACTGGCCGCCATACGTAACGCGCGTGTTAACCCACCGCGTAACATCGCGCGAAAACACCAAGTCTGTAAGTATCGAATATCGAGTGACATTTGCTCAACGTGAACGGAAAAGTGTTAACAAAACGTGTTCCCTTATCGAATTAGTGCGATACTTTATATTGATTCGTTATCGATGCTTATAATTTGTCGCTGATTGTTTGAGTGTTATCGGCGAGTTGAAGTGAGTTTACGTTTGAAAATACTTGTACGGCAGCACATTGAGCTAATCACTGTGTAGTGTCTTATGTAGTAAGTAATACGGGTGATTTTACAACAAAACTGTATAGTCTGATGTGCTGTCGTCCGTACAAAAACTAAAGTCTAACACTATTTAAAGTTACGCTGACCTTTAACTTGTGCGTAAATACAACTGACGTTGAAAATTAACAAACTTTTTATTGGAAGTCAAACTAACAACTGTAAACAACGCTAGTTTGTTGTTTCGTGCCGTAGTATTCGCGACCTTGAAATTAAAATGCGTAATCTACGTCGATACATGAAAAATAGTTTATTGGTAAACAAACGTAGAGCCGGCGAATTGAAACGACCATTTTTGACTATGCAGCGATTAACTTTACGCTTTTAATTAAGAATTTTATTATGACTTGATGGACTTACGTTGTTTAATATCGTAACAATAATAAAACTGAGTTGGGGTAACTCTAGGTGCAAAAAATCAGGGTTAAAACCTACTTAACTTATTAATTAAATGTGTACTTAACTACCGGGAATTATAATGTAATCGAAAGACTCTATTCACAGTGATTTCGAAAAAGTAGAGTACACAAAACTAGTGTTATTTCTGTCTCTGTAACACAAAAGTGAATATTTTTCCTCCTGAAACATTATTGTGAGTTCCGAAGTGAAGAAAATTATTCCCACAAAACAACTTAAAATAGATAGTGTTTTTTTTGTTCATAATAAACAAACCATTCGATGCTCTCTTCATAAAATATAGTCTGATTCTATAAACTAGCATATTAGCCTTAAAAATACTAGCTAATGATGAAAGTCACTAACAAAACAATGGCACATAATAATAGTAAAAGAACTTTTGGAATCGCTCCAGAAATTCTAGCGGTTATTTACAAATAGATTTACAAACAAACACTTGACCTCTTTTATGTGTAGTGTGAATTAAAATAATATCTAACGATAATGGACTAAGAATTAATAGTCCAATATAAATCTTATTTATTTCTATACATTTAATGTAAGTAGGTAGGTACAAATGATTTTGTATTGCACCTGTTTAAAACTATGTTCGAATAATACGAATACGAATTAAATCATTCAATCTACCATTTATTTATGATAGAGAATACTAGTGTGAACAAAAAGGAGTCAATAAAATAAGTCAATTCCGTTTATTTGAATCAAACAATACTAAAAACTGTTGTGGTTTCACCGTTAAAGGTAATTCAGAGTGCTAGGTGTGTGCGCGAGATAAGCTAAAATTAATTATGATAAACAAATTGTAAAATTACTACTCGTAGGTACCTAATTGTAATCTGTTTTGCATCTCGAATAAACAAATATAAAAGTCCGAATTTTCTATCTACGTACGGCTACTTTTGGGCTACATCGAAATTCATTCAATTTCACATCAGCAGTACCCTATTTTTTTAGCTTCCACGTTCCAACCGATATAACTTCCAATAGTAAGTACTAGGTAACTAGAAAATGTGTATGTAGAGTAAGTAAACCAATCAATTAACCACAGGTAGTTTTAAAAGCTGTCGCTAAAAGTGAGGTTGCCGTGGGGCTAATTGGAGGACCCGCCGAATTAGCCGCCGAATTCCGACACTAGCGACTGCCTGCGGGTTTTACTGTAAGGAAATATTCCGTTTTTGCTTCAATCAAAAGTCGGGTTTATAAAAATTTACCGAAAATAGAGGCGGTATTTCATGTTAATTTTTTTTTTCTTACATCATCGAAAATAAGGAACGCATTTTTAAATGACACATTTTTAGTTTTCTGCTCAGAAGAAGTTATGGCTAGCTTCGCCCGCGTAAGTTTCGTATCACTGAACGTTTTTATCATAACTTCGCCAGTGTACTTGTTTTGATCTGTTACAAAAATCACGTTTCACACTATCAAACTTGATTCTGACTTAAAACAAAATAAAAGTTTACCAACATTTTTAAATCTCTACCTGAGAAAGGATTGGTTTCATACAAACATTAATTTTTTTCACCCCGTTATAGATACTCTTATTTAATTTAAAAAAATGTCCTCTTTCGTTCCATCTACATATAAAATTCGTTCAGCAGTCATAAAACCTACCAGACATTTTACTTTCGCATTTATTTAAAGCATACCTAAATAAAGGTCACTAGTACGTAGCCTATCAATTAAATGCATTTTCGAAATTCGCAAAGCGAAGTGACGGGCAAATTGGAGAGCCGCATAAAACTTTATAGCCGGGGAAGCACCTCTACCGATGTCATATGGAAATAAACGCACGTTTTACACTCCAATCTACTTACATGAACACTTTCGTTTATTGTGAAGTACATGCCGTTTGTCGTGAAATTTGGTGCTACAAGGTTTTTTAGTCCTTCAAATTCGAGTATATTTATTTGGTATTCAGTTTTATAAATTCACATTGTTTAAGTAGGTAATTTTCAGGCCAATTATACTTATTCGTTTCAGCCAAATGACGTCCACTGCTGGACAAAGGCCTCCTCCAAGGTTTTCCACAATGCACAAAAGTTCCCGAGTGGCGACCACGGGCTGGAAGACGTTGCGTGGGCAGGCCTCCTACTAGGTGGACCGACGATCTGGTAAAGGTCGTGGGAAGAGCCTGGATGCGGGCAGCGCAGGACCGTGCATTGTGGAAAACCTTGGAGTTATTTATATTATCTACTTGAAATACACGTAATCGACTCACATGGAAAACCTGTGTTGGTAAAATGATATTTTTTTCTGACTGTACACTTTACATATTCAATAATCCGGGCCTAAAAACAGCCAGAAAATAGAAAGCATAAGAGCGTTTGATCCTATATTATTAGAAACAAGAACCCTATTATCACTATGGTTCTCTCCTATACCTACAATCTAAATAACACAGTCTCTATCATTTCAAATTACCATCAACATGCGCACCAAAGAAAGTTATGTTTAACCATTTTGTACCCCGTAGTGGAAAATTCAATTTTCTCCTCACCAAGTTTATAAAATACGGAACATTACTTCTCGCAGAATTTAAGTCTGGCAGAAAATTGACAGCCCTAAGTCAAAGGCAGAATTTAGGCAAAATAAGCCGCCGCTCCATTTCCGGGCGGGAATGCTCTTCCATTTCATCTCGGTAGAGCTGTCCCGTGTCCCGATGTGGAAGGGACGTCGTCCCACTTGTAAAAATCTAGATATTTGATGAGTGGGCCCTTATATCAATATACTTTTAGAAATTGTATGTATTTTGAGTAGTATTAAATAAATAATAGAAAAATACAAATACAAATACAAATACAAAATCATTTATTGTGAATCATAGGTAAAGTGGTGACATGTTACATTAGGTAGTATCACTATGTTCCGCTCAAAGAGCATACAATTTGTCAGACAACAATAAAATTTGGCAGTTACATAAACTAATTAGATTTATCGTCAAAGAATTCAGATATATTATAATAACATTTATTAATTAAATAAGTCAGTAAAGTTTTTTTAAATGAATTTAGATGTTCAATTAATCTAATGTCTTTTGGTAATTTATTTATAATCTTGGGTGCCATGCCTACAATATTCTTAGCAAAAAAAGTTGTCTTATAAGGATCCTTACATATTAAATTCTTGTCGCGTGATCTGTGATGACTTCTGAATAATGTTGGGTTTTGTCTGACGAAGACCGCAACTTCATAAATATACATAGATGGCAAAGTTAGAAGGTTCAACCGTATAAAGTGAGGTTTACATGTATCTGTGGGTTTTAGCTGGCAGATTGCACGTACGCATCTCTTCTGTGCTCTGAACACTAGCTCTCGGTCAGTAGCATTACCCCAAAAGATTATCCCGTATCGTAAGATTGACGCGACGTATCCGTGATATGCCGTTAATACTACAAAGGTTTTATTATTGTTGTTTTTAATTTATCCGGATACACACCATTTTCAATGCAATTGTTTAAAATGTGACAAAGTACTGGTGAAATTAACTCTGCTACGTTTTTCAATATTTTTGTGTGTACGCCGTCGTAGCCTGTACTATTGCAATTCTTAAGTGACATGATAATTCTATCTATATCTTGAGGTATGCAAGGTCTTAAATATATTGTATTAGGAATATTGTTTAAAGTCTCATTATTGTAATTATTTTGTAGAGTGTCAGCATTAATCGGTTTAACCACGTCTATAAAAAAGTCATTAAATATGTCAGCAATTTTTTTTGGGTCAGTAATTTTTTCATTATTCACGGTCAAATGAGATATATTTTCTCTAGGCAAATTACTTTTAGAGGAATTTATTACGTTCCAAGTGGCCTTTGATTTATTTAATGAATTTTTAATGTAGTAATTGTTTTGTGCTTTCTGCGTTAGGTTTATTATACGTTTAAAACGGTTTGAGTACTGTTTAAACTCGAGTTTATTTTCCGACGTTGGACATTTTCTATATTTCCAAAGTAAACTACGTTTTCGCTTGCTGCATACTTTTATACCTTTACTAATCCATTTTGGTTTCTTTATGGCAGAAAGTTTAACTTGTATTAATGGGAAACATAGATTATACAACAAAATTAAAGTATCGTGAAAAATGTCAAAAGCCTCATTTGGGTCGTCAGAATCATATACATTATTGAAGGTTATTTGTTGTAATCCTTCCTTGAACTTACTAAAATTTTCCCTATTATAGTCTCTTCTACTTACATACCAATACTTTAATAAACATAGTCGTTTTGTAGGACATTTTAATAACTGAGCTTTGTGATCTGATAGAGCAAATTCAAGAATCTCACTTTTACATCCGCGGACATTATGTATAGATATGATATGATAGATGATAAAGTAATCCTGCTAAGTACAATCATCTAGCCATAATTTTTATGATAAATAGACATTCTAAAAATATAAAATATTATGTTTGATTTGGCCGGCATTCAATTTTATCTCTTGACTCCCTGCTTAGATTTTATCGGTTCAGTAATCAGTGATCGTTACATGATAGGCACCAATTCAGATTA